TATAATAAGACCTAAATCACTGTTTATCACCTTCAAAACTTTTCTGCAGCACCTAAAAGTAGGGTAACAATAGGTTGACAATGGCCCCGGTCACACGGGAGGCTTTGATCCGTGAGAGGGATGGATCGGGGGGCACAGCAAGCGGGCACGATCACACCGAAACATCTGGGAAGTGGTGCGCACCCGTCCGCACCCATCCCCGATCCATCTCTTCCGTCCGAAGATGTGGATCAAAAAACCCCCTACAAAACACTACTACTTACCTGAAAATCCGCAGCAGGGGCAGCCGTGGGATCGCCGGCACGCCCATCTCCGGCAGCATGCAAGGCCCCCAGCCAAACTGCGCAGGCACACCCATGCGCAGCGGGCTCCCTCGCTCACCGATCTGTGGCTTCCCCCCCCCCCCCCAGCATTTGATCGTGCAGGGGAGCAACTGCGTGGCAGCTCAGGGGATCTGTCTGATCCTGCCGCCACGCATCTCTTTTGACGTGTCTCAAAAAAAGCCACACTTCAGCCGCACCTTTTCCCCCAGTGTGACCAGGGCCAATATTGACTTTTCCATACAGGCTTTGCAGAAAATGTTATGCTCACTTATCTCACACATTTACATGTAGGAAGGACATACAGTAAGCAATGGGTCTCAACACCACTCCAAGAATGGGTATAAAGGATGGCAGGGACCTACCTAAGGCATGCAGCAATACAGAATAAATTCAATAATGAGTGAATTAATTCTAAACATCTGACTAGCACGGCTGGACTGTGATTCAGAAAGCAACCAGGGACACATTCTATTTGTAAAATTGACATTTACTTCCATTCCTTGGTAAAAAGAAATGAATAAGCCTCTGGTGTGCTTTCTTATGAGTACTACTGTCCCCTCTCTTAATCAAGGGCTTTCCAGCATACTCCTCTCTTCCTTTAGGGAAGGCACAAAATTTGTGATATAAAGAAGTGGTTGTTGCATAAATTTCGCTCAATTTCTCTGCAGATTAAAGAAATATCTGTAGAGTAAAGCAGAAATATTTCTGAGCAAGTCACCCATAAGATATCCTTAACTTTCTGGTATCAGACTTCATGGTGTGTCCTTTTTCTTTCAACAGAGGCTATGATCTAATTGTGAAAATAAGTCCTGAAGTATGAAGACAGGGCCACTGAGAGCAAAGGGCTAGAAGGGCACCGGCCACCCTGGGAACACAACAAAGCTAGGGAAATCGAGTGATTCGGTTTCATATAATTTTTAGGTTGAGTCTGGGTGGTGTAAAGATGGTTCTAGAAGGAATCTTTGCTTGAAGGAGCCATAGTGGCTCTTGGCTGTCCTATACACAGGCAAGGCTCACCTCTGCAGAACCCATGCTCCCATTTTTGGATCACCTGTCCTATACACAGGCAAGGCTCACCTCTGCAGAACCCTTGCTCCCATTTTTGGATCGCTCTTTCCCAACTCTCTTTACATCCAAGCTCCCTACCTCCATTTTCAGAAATGAACCACTTTTAATCTTGCCTTTGCTGTAAGCAGCAAAAGGGCTCCTCAGTAACGGCCTTCTTTGTTTTTCTTTATCCCTCTGTCTTTCTCCCCCTCTTCCTTGAAGGACTGAAGTCCAGGGTCAAACTGGTACTTAATGCACCAGTATTTCACCCGTGGCTGGCTGGCTATCTTAACATATCTCAGAGGGAATAACATTCATTGCAAGAAGTCTGGCCTTGCAGGGTTGGCATTTGGTCAAGTATTGAATCTGTCCACTGGATGAGCCACTGCTCTCCCAGCCCCAAATAATGAAACCCAGTTTTCCTTCACTTTTTTTGCCATAATATAGTATGGAAAGAGAAATGACTGTGATTCACTTCAAGGAACTACATGTTATCAGCAGTGACAATAGAAACAACATAAAGATCTTGAATGGAAGAGCAGATAAACATTCATCAATGCTGACTGGAGACAGCAGTTTTCAGCACGCAATAAGGCATTAAGGCAGCTTTTGTAAGGCTTGATTCCACAATTCCTGCCTCGACTATAATTAGTGATTACATTTAATGATCTAATATTGATCTAAATCACTATGCCCTGACAATGTCTGTTCTTTCATCTCCCTTATTTCCAATCTTATGTGTATTACTGCATGCAAGTTCATCTCATTTGCAATTCTCTTTCATTGTGTCATTCCCTTTCTCTCACATGCATTCATATTGTTTGCTGAAGTGTTCTTTGTGCTTGGAACAGATTTCCTATCTCTAGATTTCAAGCTATCTCATAGCAGCCCAGGAAATGCTTCAGAGCGGTGTCTATAAGTGTGTAATATCTACTACATGTTAATCCATCATGAACTCCCAAGTTCTACTGGTCCTTAACCCAAATCTGTTTGTGATGTCATATTAGTCTTTCCTAGCAAATTAGATTTTTTTTTGCCTTTGGGCATAAAATTTGTGTGTTTTTAACAAAATATATTGATGGCAGTAAATAATAGCAGGAGTAAAAAAAAGATGGGTTCCTTTCTGGGGTTGTTGTAAATGTTTTATCTATTTGCCTGCCATTAGTATATTAATGGTATTTTGGGAGTAATAAAAATATAATTTACTCAGTGGCTAGGTTTACCTTTTATATTCATTCATAAAATAAACGGAAAATAATATTTTAATAATTGTTTTATATTTTATTTTAAAAATATGTTTGGGTTTATTTATTTTAAACCTTATTAGTGTTTAGGCATTTTTTTTACAAATAGCTGAGACTTCTCTCCTTATATATAAAGCTGTTTTGGTTGTGGACTCTCCCCACACACTCCCAAATCAATACACTCCCTGATGTGTCACACACAGGGTCTTTCCATCTACTGGTGGATGTGTTGTCTAAGTCCCTCCCACCCTCCCACAGAACTGGTGTCCAGCCTCTCAGCCTCAGTATGCTGGGAGGCTATGGACAGGGTGCATGCTCTGGTGGGCGAAAGGGGTCGCTCGGCTGGGGCCCTGCCTTCTAGCCTTGTTCTCCCCTGGCCTGGCGGATCGTCATGCCTCCACGCTGCTTGAGCCTGCTTTGACTGCCTGATTCTCCAGCCCCTCACAGTCTCTGGCGCTCCCAGGGGTGGCCCCGTCCCTGCCCGCCATCCTCCTGCTGCTGCTCTGTCACTGTTTAAAGCCATTGTAGCCCCGGCTTGGATTCTTCCCCTGGCACTTCCCCTGCTGCCCTGCCAGTGCCCTCTCTGCTGCTTCAGCCGGCCCTGTGCTCATCCGCGCTTCCGGGGCTCCAGGTGGCTGAGGGGCCGCAGGGCGCCTCTGGCGATGGTGGGGAGTGCGGGTGGCCTTCTGTCCTGCTGCCGACTCTCTGTGAGTCCCGGCGGGGACCAGGACATGGCCAGGTTGCTACAAGCTATTCCCCCTTCCCCAAGTTGCTCCTACTTGCCTTGCAGGCCACTGACCCGCTTCCACAAGTGCTCCGCTGCACCTGGCAATGATGCTCAGGTGCTGATGGACTCAGAAGCTACTGAAGAGGAAGTGGCAGTGGCAGGAGGGCGCCCCTCCACTGGCCACCCTGTTGTTCTCTGGCCACACCGCCAGCATCACCACCACCCCTCCTCACTGCAGGTCCACCGCTGCACCAACTGCCTCCTGCTGCCTGACCCCGGCAGCGAGAGCCAGGGCCACGAGGGTGGCAGTGGAGAGCCGCTGCTCTACCCACTACTGGGCCCAGGGGATGAGCACGACGGCGCCCCTTCTTCTGCCGGAACAGGGGTGGGGAGGGGGCGGCCCACCTAGCACTTAACCCCACCTTCACAAAGAAGCGACCCAGCATCTGCTGATGGTCTCGGCATTGCATCTGGCTGTAGCTGCGGGGGGGGGGGGGGCACGACTGCAGCAAGCCGCCGCACTCACTCAGGCCCTCTTCTAGAGCTTGTTGCATTCATTTCCGCAATGCGCCTTTCTCCTAGTACCATTAATATTTAACAATGGAAGTATCACTATTTCCAACAAAAAAATTGGCTGGCTCCTGTGTGGATGATGAAAGCAGCAAAACTAGGCCACCTAGAAGTCTCTGCATACTGGTAACTCCCCATGCATACAGAAACAAATATGACTTTGCAAATTAATCGAAGATAGCCTCCTCCAGAAAGGATGGAATGTAGGAATTCACTGAGCATCAATTAAAGGCTGAGGGGAGCAGGATTGGCCTGCTTAATTGCCTGAGAGAAGCTGTGCAATTTGGGAGGTAGTGGGGTGTTTCAGAATTGTGTCTCTGCCCTGCCAGTTCTTGTGGGTTCCCAGCTTATATACATCTTTACTACATCTGAAGGCCAACTCAGACACTGCATTTTTTGCAATGCCTTCCTAAGCAGAGTTATGCTGTTCTAAACCTACTGATTTCAATGGACCAAGCAGATGCAACACTTGCCTATGATGGCATTGTTAGGTACCAAGCTGTCTCAATTCAAGCATGGCTCTTGTGACTAAGGATAATGTATGTGTGTCCAGAGTCACATTTTTGACTGGCAGTAACCTGTTATTTCAGGGTCCAGCTGTCAAGAGTGTGTTAGTAATTGTTAGTCAATTACCATGACATTTTAGGCTCATATCACATGCGTACTATTGGTAAGTGATAATAATATTAGCAGTCACAAGCAGCCAGTTTAGGGATGTACAGCCAGCATAGGGATGTACAATATGCACAGTTGCCTAAGAAATCTGATGCCTTCCCCCACTCATGAATCATATTTCCCAAACTCCTGTGCTAAACATTATTTGTGATCTAATTCAGAACTCTCAATGAAGAGCTAGCTTCTTTGAATGTTGAGGATGTCACCCATAATAGGGAATCTAGTTAAGATCAGGACATAGAAAAGATTGCCGATCACAAATTGATCATGAGAGTATAAACTTGGAGAAAGGGGTAGAACTCAAGGAAGCCAGTAATGTAACATCTTGTGATAGGTTGGTGAATAATAGTTTTTTTCAATAAGAATGTTTATGCCAGTTGCCTGATTACAAGTCTCCTTTTTTTCTTCTGAAGAATGCTGTCAGAAGGGTATCTCTGTAGGATTCTTCATCATGATCACTTGAATTACAAGCTGTGCAGCAAGCAAGGAGATGAAGCAGCACATGAGATGACCACTTTGAATGATACCACCTTTGAATCCACAGAGGAAACACAGGACAGAAATCTGTTTTGGAGGTGCAGGTCTTTTGGCAAATTCATCTTTTCTGTCTGTTCCAAAGAAAACAGAAACAGTGGATATCAGAAGGATGAACTGACACAAGCTACTCAAAACCCAGTATTTGAAAGGCAAACATCTCCAGCTGTGGAAATTTGTATAGGTTCTACAATAAACAGAGACACTTATCTTGTTCCATCTTCTTGTAACAGTATTTGCAAAAACTACAATGACTTGCACATTGCTGGGGGCCAAGTGATGCCTATGAGCTCAGTAAAAACAGATTTTAATTATGACAGTGGGATTGGTCCATTCTTGGAATCATCAGAGATCCCGCCACCGATGGAATCCATATCAGTGCCACCTATGGAGGTCACTCGCAAGCCAACTCAAGGGTATTCATCGTGCTGGCGAGTAGCCAGCATCATGCAGCAGCAGCAGCAGCCCCTCTCTAATTCAGTACTGAATGACTACTTGGAGGAGAAGGTGGTGGAACTCTACAAGCAGTATATCATGGATGGCATGGGCAACAGTACATCTCCCACTCAGATCTTGGCATCAGAATTCATCATAACCAATGTAGATCAAATTAGTGTGAAGCTATCGCAAGAGAGAAACATGAAGACCACCAAAGCCAAAGACATGGTAATTAGCTGCCTATTGCGACTAGCCAGTGAGAGAGCATCTACTGAAATGAGCACTCCCAGCCTCCATATTTCCCAGTTCAGCACAATTACTAAATAAAAGTTGGATGAAGCTTGAAATCTCACAGACTTTTATTTTTAAAAATAATGTTTAGTTTTTGTACAGTTGAGTTTTTGTACAGTTTACGTCGCCACAGTACCAATTGTAAAATATTTTACAGGTGAACTCCTGCAAAGAAGCCTTGTCTAAAAATCACACAGAAATCTTAGGTGCTTATTTACATAGCAGATAATTCCTGCATCCATTTAATAGCTCACTTTTTACATGTTATGCCTTGTTCACTTGTCTGTGTGACTCTTTGGTTTTGTTTTCTACAGAAACCTAAACTGAACAATTTCCAGCATCTGTTATTACTCCTTTTACCATTGGTGCACAAAAAAAAGGGGACATGTCTAGCAACTATTTTTACTGACTTGGGAAACGAAACTCTTTTTCAGTGGTTTGTTGCAGCCCTTTGTGAAAGGCTCTTTCGCAAACTGGCAGGCATCAGGGGAAAAGAATACATACAAATGCTCCAGTCACAATGCCTCAGCATGGATTCATTCATTTGCAATTTATTATTTTTAACATGATGAACATTTTGTATGCACATCCCAATGTGAAGAAGCGTCGGTTCCTTTGACTAGACAATGAGGATAAGATCCCTTTTCCTTTGCCCCTCCAGATGCACCTGATTTATGGCTGTGAACAGGCATAAAAATGTGCAGAACAAAAAAAGGGAGATGTTTTTAGCAATATTTTTGACTCACTCCAGTGCCAGGTTTTGCAGCTAAAATGATACCTGCTGGCAATGTGATAAAGAACTAATCGTAGATTCAGGTGGGTACCTGTGTTGGTCTGAAGCAGCAGAACAAAGTTTGAATCCGGTGGCAACAAAGACCAACACAATTGTTCTTTAAGGTATAAGCTTTCATGTGCATGCACACTTCTCCAGAACCTATTTACTTTTTTAAGCTTATTATTCTTCCCAATTCCAAGTACCTTGAGCCTCAAAGTAACTCCAAACCCCTATATAAAGTATGTCTGTGATTTGATTAGACATTACATATTTGTCTATCTTAGCCCTTCATTAACTGACATTTTAGAATATTCTGCTATTAATAGTGCTACCCTAAGGACAATTTCCTGGGAGTAAGCTGTATTGAATAGACTTAAGTAGACTTCTGAGTAGACCTGATTTAGGCTGGCACTGTATATCATTTAACTGAAGGAAATTTTCACACAAGTCATATAGTCCAATGAACAAAACAAAACATAGTTTCATCGCAGCTACACTCACTTTGCCCAGTAAATCTTTCTCATGTAATGCCTTGCTGTATCAGATGTCAATATCACGTGTAACCTATTTCATGTCATTTGATGGCACCCTGAAAAAAGAAATACCTTCTTAAAAAAAATATTTTTTTAAAAATCAGATCTTTAATCTCTATGTTTTCAGTGATTTCAGTGGGCTGTGGGTCAGATCTGTAAACCACAAAAGTGGGAATGATAATTTTACACTGAAATAACTGGTCTTTTCTTTTCTTTTTTAGTCCCTCTTTCTTTTGTCCTCACTGTTCAAGATCTATACTACAGCATTCAACTAATACCATTTTGCCTCTAACAATCTATATATCTAATAGCCAGTTTGGTGTAGTGGTTAAGAGTGATGAGCTCTACTCTGGAGAACTGGGCTTGATTCCCCACTCCTCCACGTGCAGCCAGCTGGGTGACCTTAGGTCAGTCACAGCTCTCAGAGCTGTTCTCTCAAGAGACGTTCTCTCAGAGTTCTCTCAGCCCCACATACCTCACAGGGTGTCTGTTGTGGGGAGAGGAAGGGAAGGTGATTGTAAGCTGCTCTGAGACCCCGAGTGAAGGGCAGTGTTTAAATCCAACTCTTCTTCTTCTATGCCCCTACCTGTGGGGCAATTTATGCAGAAATAAGATTTTCCAGCAAACTTGGTGGACACCCCAGGCTTGCAGAAAAATCTTAAATCAGGAAAAATGGTTTTGGGGGTTAAAAAATCCCAGACACAGCTGGGAGACATTGTCTACCCAGCTGCAGATAACAACAGAAATAGTTCTCAGGAAGCTATGGCAGGCAAAGAGGGAAGAGCAGGCAGGCAAGCAAGTGAGCAAGCAGAGCTGGAGGTCAAGAAAAGAGCAGTTGAATGGCTGATACTGCTGCCTAGCACAAAAGAAATGTCAGTAGCCACAACGAAGCAACAGCAGTGTGGCTTTCTCCTTCCTTTGACAGGAAGTGAAGGCAGACAAGGAGAGGGAAGAGGTGGCAAGTAAAAGTGCACACTCACCCCAGATCCTCTCGATGCAGGACTGAGTGAGGCATACTTCAAAACATTTACTTGTCTGTTCACATAAACAAAGTGACTGTGATCCCATCCTGACTGTGGTCAAGGTAAACAAGCAAGCCATTATAAATGGGAAAATGTAAAGACTGGTTCCAAGCTTTACTGCCTTCCCTTGCCCTCCACTCATAAGGCTTTCACAGAGCTTCCTCCTCCCTCCAATCACACCTGCTGAGAACAGGGTTTTTTTTAATCTGTGTCTCCTCCCCTCCCATCTGATTAGATTAGCAGCAACACTAAAAACAGAGAAAAAACCTGTTACAGTCTTGTCAAAAATTACTCAGGTCTCTAAAACATAATGCCAAAAGCAGCATAGAAAACGGGACCCCTCCCAATCATGGCACTAATGAAAACTAACCATTTTTGTTGCAGGTCCCACTTGTCCCATCCTAAACAGAGTGTATCCCTTCTAAGCTGAAACTGTGTTTAGACATCCACTGAAAGATGTTTTCACTTCACTTCCTTAAAATACATGTTTATACATGTTTCATTCAGTCTCACCCAGTTCCCTTTTTACAGATCATTCCTCACATGACTTTTGTGCATGCAAGTCCTTTGATTCCCAGTAGTAACTTTTTTTTGTTGGTTAGTGGGGACACCTCCCACTGGGGACACCTCCAAGCTGGTTGGAGGAGATACTAGAATATGTTTCAGGTACTTTAGTATTGTATGTATTAAGATTTGGTAATTTTTTCATTGGTCTTAGAATGAATATACTAATTTTGAAAAAAAATTGTAGGATTTATGGCTTATTTTATAGATTGTACATAGGTATTGTGAAAAATCATTAAATTGTTAGAAAACGCTGTGTTTTTTCTATGTATTATCTTTATTAAAATATATTTTGAAAAAAGACCCACTATTTTTCTGTAACTACCTAGAAACAAAACACGGGTGGACCGTAAGTTAAATATGAGCAGCCAATGTGGTGCGGCAACAAAAAAAGTTAATGTGATCTTGGGGTGCATCAACAGAGGCATAACATCCAAATCACAAGATGTCATAGTCCCACTGTACATTGCATTGGTCAGGCAACACCTGGAGTATTGTGTGCAGTTATGGAGGCCTCACTTCAAAAAGGATATGGACAGAATTGAGCGGGTGCAGAGGAGAGCAACAAGGATGATTGGGGGCCTGGAGACCAAGCCCTATGAGGAAAGGCTGAGAAGCTTGGGAATGTTTAGTCTGGAGAGAAGGAGGTTGAGGGGGGACATGATTGCTCTCTTTAAGTATTTGAAGGGCTGTCACTTAGAGGAGGGCAGGGAGCTGTTCCTGTTGGCAGCAGAGGACTCAAAATAACAGGTGTAAATTAAGGGCGGGAAGGTACCAACTGGATATTAGGAAAAACTTTTTTTTATAGTGAGAGTTGTGCAGCAGTGGAATCAGCTGCCTAGGGGAGGTGGTGAGCTTCCCTTCACTGGAAATCTTTAAGCAGCGGCTGGACAAACACTTGTCAGCGATGCTCTAGGCTAATCCTGCATTGAGCTGGGGGTTGGACAAGATGGCCTGCATGGCCCCTTCCAACTCTGTGATTCTATGATTCACATTTCATTGAAGTCTTTCAGCTCACTGGCTTCTTTCAAAGACATTGCAGAAGACACCTTGGAAACCCTGTTTATGTAAGGAGTGGTACTGAATCTCAGATAATGATGAATATATATTCCACTAAGAAAAAGGCCCGTTGTGGAAATAAATACAACGACCTCTAGAAAGAGGCTCTGGGCGGGTGCCTCAGCCTTGGACACAGTGTCAATTTGCTGTGGCGACCTCAGCAGGGTATAATGTCACTGAGTCCACCATTTTCTCCAGAGGAACTGATCTCTGCTACCTAAACAACAGTTGTAATTTTGAGGGATCTCCAGCCCTCACCTAGAGATTGGCAACGATGGTTCCCCAGAAGGGAATGGTTGGTTTGGACAGTGGAGTCTATGGCTTTGTACCTGTCCAAGGTCCCATGCCTCCTGAAACCTCATCTTCTCCAGGCTCCATCCCTCACATCGCCAGGAATTTCCTATCTGGAGTTGGCAACCCTATCTCCTTCCCAGCCAATCTTCAACCTACCTTTATTTCCCCCTCACTCTTCAGCTTTCCACCCCCCACACACCTGCAGCCTCTCCCATGCTCTGAAGCCCTGATTGCTATGTCACATTGGCTGTCATACGGGGGCCACCTCAGCAGCATATAAGGATAGAGAGCCCACCATTTTCCCCGGGGAACTGATCTCTGCCATCTGGAAAGCAGTTGTAATTCTGAGTGATCTCCAGCCCTCACCTGGAGATTGGATACATTTTACCTCAGAACAGCAAACTGTTTAGAATGTTAGAGGCAAAAGCCAATCAAGTCGCATATGCAAACGACCTCTGTGTTCCGAGGCAAAGGCCAATGAGGCTGCATATGCAAATAACCTCTGTGTTCTGACTGGCTATGGGGGGGGGGGGAACAGCAAACTGTTTAGAATGTTGGAGACAAGACTCAAGCAATGCAGCCAGTGGACACACCAGGGCACCAACCAATTCTGAAGCATGTGGAATGTTCTAGAGGAGTGCCACCACCATTTGGCTTTTATACATAAGGGAGATAGGACTCAGGGAGATGAAAGCATGAAGTGCTATAATCATATTCCTTAAATCAACCTAAGCTATTAATATTATACATGCATATCTGTACTAGCTGAAGAACTGTATATTATTTTTAAAGCAAGAACAAGATTACTTCCTAATGATTTTATCTCTTTACTGAGGTATTTGTGTAAGCGGCAGTGAATTTGATGCTGGCCTCTGTTAAATACATTGTAAGAGTTATTACACCACTAATATATTTAAAGGATC